TATAACACTGTTGATTATTCCGTTTTATATGAATTCCATGTTGTACGAGTCACTTAGATTTTACAAATACGTGTGCCGGGCTGTGAACAGCTCACGTATTTGTAAAATCTAAGTGACTCGTACAACATGAAATTCATATAAAACGGAATAATCAACAGTGTTATAGGGGGTCGACTGTACTGTAAAAAGAGTTTTTCACCCTCTACAATGTATAAATACAGTAAAACCTGTCCGAAGTGGAACTTGAATGAAAAAGGAAATCCCCACTAAACGGAGAGATTTTTCTATGTTAAAAAGAACCCTGTCAAACCGGAAAACTGTCAAAAATTCGGTACTGCGCGAGTCCGGCTTACACAGGTTTTATTGTATATAAGAAATGCCTACTTTTATGATTGATATGACTTTTTTGGCATAAAATCCACAAATAAGGCTTGATTTAAATTGCTGAGCAAGCTTAAATTCTCATTATAGAAAAGTATACAGTATATATATATAAATATATAGTTTAAGGCCTTAAAGGCCTTACACCTTTAGATTTATTAATATTTAGGAGCTTTTTTTATATTATAACAGAGCCACTACAGGTCTAAATTCAACACGCAGAGGGGCACCAAGCTTCATCAATTCGTGAAATTCTCATTTTTAATTCGAATTTCGTTTAATTTAACTCATTGTTTATTTTTAATCTTAGACATTTCGGGGAACAAATTTATTTAATTTTTCGTTAATCTATAAAAATTTCTGGGACGTTAATGAGAGATAAGACTATCCAGATTATAAGGAATATGACGACCTTTGAAAATTCGTTATAATTCTATTGTATATAAATCTTTCTTATCGATATTTGATAATTTTATTTATTTATTTCTATTTAAAATATTGACACACGGTTATATTTAACGGAAATTTTATATATTTCTCTACGTGATTTCAACTTTGAAAGTATTCTATATAAGTTATTAATTGAGAGAGGGTTTCAGCTTGTTCGACTTTGTTTGAGTAAACGGCTGGGGCTAAAAATACGGTTCGGGTATCAAATTAAAGCTCTTATTCTATAGATAATGCCGCTGAAGAGAAATTTCAGAAAGGTGAAATAGTTTAGGCGTGGCGAATTGGAAAAGATACAATGTTAAGTCCACCCGCCTGTTAACTTTAGCAATTTTTTGAGTTTTACACTTTCGTTATTGTACATACTGAGGTTAATAAATGTACATTTTAGTTACTAAGACCACCCTCTCTCGACTCAACCTCACCCTCTCCTACAACCTCAAAAGCCCGAGCAACAAGTGTAATGTAATACAATAAAACTTGTGTAAACCGGACTCGCGCGGTACCGAATATTTTGGCAGGTTTTTGTTTTGAATAGGTTTTACGGTATGTAGGTAAAATTTCATAAAATTTATAATTATATATAATTAAATGATAAAGAAATTATAATTGCTACGAATGTAAAAGAATTTCAAAATGGCTAAATCAACGTCACAGTTGTTTAGATCGCATAACAAGGATACAAGACCCACTTCACTCCATTAATTACCGGGTTGACGACAACAAAACAATTCGCTATATTTGCACAGAAGGTCATATCTATCCTAGAAAGCAATTCCGCCAACAATATCCTTTAAGCTTCTAACGATGAACCGCGTATAAAAGGGGTATAAAAATATAGAAGCTCATTAGTTAAGCATTCGCGAAATAACCAATGAATAAACAAACGAATAAGTCAAGGTTGGTTATACAATTTGTTATTACTTGTTTCAATTTAACGAAATTATGTTTATTTTTACAGAAAAAAATTAAATTAAATTACCATATATTCGGGTTTCAAAATTAAAGATAAAAAGTACTTAAAACAAGTAAATTACACTGTACTTTATCATTAATTGCTGCAAGATGTTATGTAGGAGGTTCATTAAATTCCTCATTCGTAGAAATACAGTCGAAAAACCTCTAAAAGACGGCCATTTTTCAAGAACGTTAAGCAAAAGCGTTTAAAAATTAACTGTTTTTGTCAGTGGCCGTTGTTAAGGGGGTTTGATTTTCGAGTGATTTGTTGTAAAATCTGACGTGGGTGGGTGGCTATTCCACTAAATATAAAGACTCCATTATGTTGTCGGTCGAAACTTTTGTATATTAATTAAAAGAATTTGAATAAAATAATAATTTTTTTTTGAATACGGTTGATATTTAAGCTATCGAATTCTTTTTAAACTTAATCAGCTGGTCAAATTGTTGTTGTCAATGATTCATACAAGTAATTTAATCTGACACTTAAGTCGAGTGGATCAATATTTGTCAAGTGTGTAAATGAATTCGAATAAGATATCAATCACGTAAGAAATATTTTTATCATTCATAATCAGTTTAAAGCTGTTTTTTTCATAACTTTTTGGCGATCTATTTGTTCTTTTTTAATGTTAAATTAGCAATTAGATCAGTTAGAAACGTTTTTTGGTAACTTTATAATAGAAAACAAAGTTAATTTACGCTTTTTAAAGGCTTTATATTATTAGTGGCATTATATAAGAATAGAAATGAAAATTACAGGTAATTGTCGTGTAGTGGCGATATTTATTTACGTCTCTTAAAAGTTGAGCGATTAAGCGAAAGTAAACAGAGAAAAGACGGCTTTATCTGTTTATTCCAACTTGTCCTTATATAAGTTGATAAGTTAGGCAATTTGCAACGTTTCTGCTGCCACATTTACCTCAAAACAATTTTTTCTTTGCCGGGATGACGCATCCGAAAGTAGCTGCCAAATGACGGAGGGAGGACCCCGCGGTGTTTCCCTCCTCTATACACACACAACTGTTAACTATTTTTAAAGTCTAGGTCCAGTCTTTCAATGTCTAGGGGCAAGCGGGCAGTAGCCAACGTCACAGCACTCATCTCAAATTGCTCGACGACCAAGATAAACCTTACATCAGCTTAGAATAATTCAGCTGAGCCTGGCGCATGTTGATGCATGCGCTATCATTGACCAATAGGGTGTCCCGTTACAAGCAACGTCAACTGGAGCGAGCACCCTTGGTTTGGCAAAAGTCGCAGTGTGTTATTAACTCGACGACGACTATCCGAAGACGATTCGACAGGCCTGCTACTATTTAATTTATTGAATCGCTTGGATTGTCAAAGGAGTAACAGGGCCTGCAAAACAACGCGTTGGGCCAGGAGAATTTTACTACACGAGAAGAAGCCGGCCGCCATTTTCCCCCTTGCTGTGTCTACTCTGCCATACACCGTATCACGCTGACGATTGTGATACAAGTGCGCTGCTTATCTGTAACACGTGCCACTCACCCTTTCCTCGACTCCTCCGTAAGTTGGAGTGGACACGGCGACTTTAAGACAACCAGTCGACTCCGCATGGTACGATCTGTTTCGTCAACATACCCGAATGAATTTAGGCCAAAGTCTCTCAGAGTGGGCGAAGGATAAACCCCTGAGTATCCTCCAACTCGACCCTGCTGACAGGGCCGTGCTCAAAATAGCAGGTAAGTGCCACATCTTTTTTAAAACACGTGGTCATTCGCTTAACACTTACGTTCGCTTCGACGTCGATTTCAAGCCAAATGAATTATTATTATTTTTCTTTTTCGCCCGTTTATTTGCACGTTGGGTTAGATTATAAAAGAGAAAAATTGGCACATCTTTATTTGACCTTGAGAATATTCTGATTGCTGCATTGCATCTAACCGCAGTAAAAACAGTTTTATTTTTATACTAAAAATATATATCCCTGTGTATATATCTATGATACATACCACTTTAACAGAATTTATATGCGTAACGACACTCGTAGCGATTCTGCGAAAATATACGCTATTAAATTATGTATATAACACATAAAAAAGTCGTCTGCAAGAACAAAAATTCAAATCATCTTGCACTTTGTCTCGTGTGATGACGATGCGGAATAAACAACGTTACAGGTCGATAGGGTTTAGTCTAAGCCACTTCCACATAAAAATTCTATAGAATTCATAGAAAAACTAAAGTAAATCGATGGAAACAATCGATTGGGAGTGACTCACGCCTAGTGCAATATCAACTAAATAACGCATTTGATACGGCTAATCTGTCTCGATATGCACGTTGATATTCGTCGTAAAGTTTTATAGGTAGAAAACACTTTAAAAATTCAAATTTCATATAATTATCCTTATTTCCTTACACAATATTTACTAATAAAGTAACGTGGTGGCACGCTAATCCTATTCATTCTCGCCATATTATTTTTGGACCCAAAATGAATGATTGATAGATACGAGCGTTACGAATGTGATTGGACTAGCTCGTTTGATTTAAATTATTACTGATAATAAACAAGGAAATAACAATAAATCAACTTAAAAGCCAGAATATTTATAATAGGGAATGAAATTGCTTTCACTCTTATAAATTAATTTACGACTGTAAGAACTAAAAAGTATGCCATAACTTGTAACATCAAATATAGATTTTAAAGCATGACGTAAATTTATGGTCTCGTATGATTTTATTTTATATTTATTTTATTTATTCATTCATTTTTCGACTGACGTAACGTCTCGAAATATTACCTTCCGGTTTTCTTCTGTTATCTTCTATAGGAATTCTTTGCAAATATTTCAAGGACAATTGCCAAAAATATTTATTTCTGATTTTACTTAACAAAGATAAGAAATTAATGCAAATAAATTCATATTTTAGCTAGTTTGATTGGCATTTTTTTTAACACGTCATGTATGTATTGTACTTCCTGTTAAAGGTTCGATGCTGTGTCTATGGATAAAAACGTATGTTCTAATAAAATACAGCTTATTAAATTCCAAATTTATAGAATTAAAAAGAAATTTTAAAGATAAAATGGTATTTGATAGGAGTTTTGAATATTAAGAATTGATATAATGTTACGTAATACACGTGACCTCACCCTTCATTGATTGAAGAATTGTTTTGACTTAACGTCGAATAAATGAAGTTAAATCAGCTTAATTTCCACTAGATTTTATAAGAGTGATTTTAATGTATGTTGTTACCCGAATATACACGTTTGTCCTGCATTTTATACTAATTTAGATTCGATATTACGATTTTTATGGATTATAAAACATATTTTCTGGCCCAATTAGGTCAATTAGATATTATTATAATGATACATTCCCCATGTTTTTGTTATAGAACATGTAATTATTTAATTTTATTACACGTCTGAGAGTAAACTAAGTCGAATTTTCCGCTTGGATTTAGTGAAATTATATTATTATCTTTCTGTTTATTTCCTTTTTCCTTGCGAGTTAATAAAAATGAAAGGTTTTAATTAGATCAGTACGCTACGAAATCTATTTTATTGCCGAAATGATACGCACTTAATTATAACAAGTTACGCAACTGGCATCACTTGTTCTTGTCATTCTTAGTTTTTCGCTGTTCGCTAGATTAACCTTTAGATTTATTAATGACCAGACGGATGCACTTAATGGTCTCTAGGTTACAGTTGCACAGTATTGTAGCTAAACTGGTTAAAAACGTACGATCGATATAGTCCAGTAGAGATGTACTGGTGTTAGAATACGTTACAATCGATTGTACTAATGCCCAAAAATCACCCCAACTCTGTTGAAATTTTCACGACTGTACTTTTAAAATTTAAAACTGATGTTAAGCGTACCTCCAGCATTCATTTTTAAGACAAAAGGTGGCTTAGTCAGCTTATACGTAAAAATACACAGGGATTAATCAATAAGTAAGCATTTTAAACAGTAGAAAGTTGTTTATGAGTAAAAAAAATAATCATTTCGAGCCACTAATGAGCAAAAATCTCACGTATTAACAGCCGAATTCCGGATATTTGACATTGGAAAGGGATTAAGAATTGTTTGATGATCTTCTCTGTTGGGGGCAATCGTCAAAAGTCATTTTGAGTTTCGCTTCCTTTGCCAGTTCCTAAATGAATGGTAAGTGCAGAGCAGATGTTATCGGCGTATGGGCGACAGGTTTATTTTTTGACCCAAGAGGAATAAAACGTACGAAAGCCACAGTATTTAGGTCATCAACCCTCCCCATCTGTCACTAGATGATAAGGTGAGGTGGGAATTTGAAATCCGTTACTGATTCCAACGTCTGGACTATGTCAATTTTTTTAGTCCTTTTGTTTCCTTTTATAATAAATACACCGGAAATTTTCAACAGAATAAAGACACGAGTAGTGTGATGTAATACACTAGTTTTTGAAAGAGATCGAAAGTGAAAGAAATTAAACAGAAGTTGCTCCACCAATAGAAAACAATGGATTCAATTTTTAAAATATCCGTATTAACCAATCGTTTACAGTCACCGAAACGTTACGTAACTTGTTGCGTTTATTTAAAAACACAGAACTAAAAATGTTACGTATGGCACGAAATAGGTCAAATGCTCGACATTCTTGGCATTTTTTCTCGTTATCGAAGACTTTAATACGAATTTGCTTTTATTAATTACAAATAAATACACGTTCATTTGTTTATTTAATACGTTCTGTTCTTTAATTGTCGTAACTTAAGTTACGCTATAGTTTCTTCTCTGGGCGCTAGATGGCGTGCCCGTAGCATTTAACTGTATTTTAATACTGTAATATTTTGCTTATTAAATTATTATTGATTTGAATTTTACCGAAGTTCACAGGCCAATTATCGAATGGGCAACATTCCTTTATAAAATGCTTAAATTATATTGGAAAGGTACAACTCAATGGCGCTCGTTCATCATTCCCCAGCCAAACAAACGATTTTAACGCGGTCCAAATTGATTTTTACACATTTATAATCCTCTCCCGGTGTTCGAAACTTATTAATCATCGCTTATATCCAATAAAAATATATTTCCTAGTAGGAAAAGCCCCGGTACAAACCAGTAAACCGTCCTTGTTATCAATCACTGATCCATAATGGCAGGGAGATTCATTCAGAGATTTAACCTTGGATAACGTGACAACAAAACCCGAGCCCATAACGGATATTGCAAATTGTTTGTGGCCCAACACAAACCTATAGGGACGAAAAAACAAACATGAACGTCCTCCGTTACCATTCCTACGACACTTGCGTTTCTATACTAAAAGGTTTGTAGTGTATTTCGTTTGTTTGTTTATTCGTATTTTAATCATTTCGTCACTCGTAATGCGGTAATAATAAAGCGTAATTCGTTACTCGAACTCCTATACTTCTTCGATTACAATATTCAATCGGCGGGTAGGAGAGTTTTACACCTGTATCACGGTTTTGTATCTGCCATTCAGTGAAAGGGTCGAGTCAGTTGTGGTCTCATTGACTAGGGAAATGTTGTAGGTGCTGGGCCGAACCGGTTAAATATCCTTGGTCTAGGTCATCACTTGCAGACTAGGCGCGTAAGCTCTCTGCAGTTGTTATTAAGTTCGTAATGTTGAACAACTGATCACAATGTGGCGTCATTTATTTCAACTTTCAGATGAGAGAGATGCGATTCAGAAGAAAACTTTTACCAAATGGATGAACAAACATCTTAAAAAGGTGAGTATCTTTACTTGCCTTTACTTAATTATATAACTTTCCTTTTGTTTTTTCTATTATTTTCCTCCTCCTTGTCCTCCTCCTCCTCCTCTACCTTTTACTTTCATTAACGTTATTTAAACGTCATTATGTACTGTAAAAATTGATTTTATATTGTTATATTGTACGTGTATTAAATTTTAATCAAGCGTCGTGCCTATTTTTATTATTTTATTTTAAGTTTTTTAAACCTTCTGCCTAATACTTTCCTTATATTTTCGCATATTTGTTAGGTTAGTGTGTAGAATATGCATAAATTAAATGTATTTAAAATGTGCATAACGTAAATTTTTAAATAGAAATTACGTAACGTTTCATTATACTAGCGTTTGCGACATTTTTTTTTTATCCCAAAAATGTCATTCAGAGAAGTGAACGCCTACACTTTCCTCACTCGACAATACCTAAACACACCACTGTGTTGCGACATTTGACGCTCTATCCTAATTACTGTGTGGAAAAAACTACCTTTTCTAGGTTAAATTTCCATTATTTTTGTTCCTAAAACTAAGTAAAAGTCGAAACTTTTGAAAACAAACAGGGTAGAAGCCGGAAGTTGCGCGACGTCACCATAGAGGATTAACAAAAAGAAGACTTAATTAATACATATAAAACTATTTAGAGAATTGCGATAAGATCTATTTAATCTAGATTCTTTATATTATATTCTTTAACTATCTTTGTTGTTTTTTTTTTTTTAATAATATAACTCGATAAAATCGTAGTGTCGTGCTGTAGGACGACGTCTGGCAACAGTTACTTGGCCTCCGAATTAAGAGCGATAATAGCTTTTAATTAGACAATATCAACGTATTATTCACGTTTAAAATGTAATTATCAGACAGAAGATTCGGTAGCTTGTCAAAAAATAATCTAAAGGAACCAGTTATTCGTAGCAGAACGTCATTAAAAAATAAACAAAACTGAAATCCCCTGACGTCACTGCCGAGTTTTATCCTTGTCTAACCAGTTGTGCTTATTATGTATTAATAAATTTACTACCGCGTTAACTTTTTTTCTTTTCTTTTTTCTATCGAGAAATGGTTAATTCGTTTGTGTGATTTAAAACGGTTTTACTTATTTAGTCGATACGTTGCCCGAAAGTGTGTTACGTCACAGATCGTCACAATCGATACGGCACAGAAGCGTATCCATGGCAACCGACCACACCCTGTCTTCTGTGTTTTACACACGTAACCACGTGTTTTCCTCTTTGTAATTTTACTTAATCCCATCTCGTATTGCGTATTTATGACGTTTCGAATCCTCCCAAGAAAAATAGCACCCCTCCATCGTCTACTAGGTTAACAACACAGGCTTACTATCCTTGAATTATTGATTTAGTGTAGGAGTTTCTAGTATTTTATAATAAAAAAAAAGAATCTGTATCAGATTTTTCGATGTTTTATGCTCCATATAGGGCATTTGTGTGATGGTGTATTATATTTATAGACCTTCTAGATGTTATATAAGATATTTTTGAAGTTATATTAAGCTATACTCCAGATTTTTCCTTGTTTTATAACACAAGTATATGAAAAATATGAAGAAAATGAACCATGTTTTATGCTAGAAACACACACACGCACACACTACCTGAATTTTTTAAAGAAGGTTTATGTTATATACATGCCAGATTTTACTTATTTTTAACTTTAATTTGAGGTTTATGTGGATATATTGCCATAGTATATATAGTAGCCATTACAATATAGGTGTTGTAAGCATTTATATGCGAGGTATTGCGACAATGCACGCGAACTTTTCAGTGTTAGTTGGGTGTTTTCTTTTTGGTTGATTATTTTTTTATATAACTCGAGTTTCTGTTCTGGGAACGATGTCGAACGATTTGAAAATAGATCGCGGAGGTTGGGTTGCCTGTTGGCTGTTGAAAGGATTGAAAAATATTACCTCCTTTAAAATAGGCAAGACATTTCGACTATTTCTGGTTTACTTACTAAGACGATTAGCATGATTGGCAAGGAAGACATTAAAAAGGATGGGTTAGTTAATCCTTGAGGGGTTTAGAACCATATCGAATGTTGTATCCTTACTTCAAGTGTCAAAGTCCCCTAGATGAAGGAGAGAGTTTAAAAAAGGCACCATTCCGACTGCGGGTTGATATTTCCAATCCTTTGACAATCCCGCTAGTCGGCTATAAATTGAAAAAGGCTTGGCTTAGTTTCAGAGATACAACGATACGACAGGCAGACAGCCAAGCCATTATCATTGCGTTAAAAATCCTCCCTTTCCATTCGATTTCGTCCAGCTAGAAAGAGGACAACCAGGTGAAAAGGGTAACTTGGGTGTGCCCGATTATTGGAACACGTTGTGACTCCCACGTTCGGTGGGAACAATATTAAACTATGACTCGTATATTAAATTGTATCGAAAACGAATATGTTATTAAATAGAAAAGACAATCGCGCGTTTTAAGTGTAAACGATGTATTTTTAAAGACACGAAAACATTAAGCTGGCATCACTAAACGACTCGAAATAGACGCATTTTCTGTCGCAGTTCTGTCGCCGTGGGCCAATCGATTAATTTCATAGTGTATCACACAGATAATAGATGGCGCCAACTAAGCAATTTTTGGCAACTTTGGCCAAAAATTTCCACCCCTGGAAAGCGAAGTTGAGGCCGAGTCTTATGAAATTTCTCATTAGAAAAGCGTATTGTCTGAAGGTTGTTTTAAAACAGATTTTTCTGCCAGCCAATCCCTCATAAACAGGAAGTCTTTATTGCTTGGAATTTATCGTCTTCCTTTTTAATCATCCGGTGCAGCAGCCTTCGAAGCCAGTTGGTCCAACAGCTCTTTCGTGTCATCACGTTTAATAAGATGCTACTTCGTGCAATTCGCTTACACGAATATATGACTTTACATTGCCTTTAAAGCAATGAATGCACTTTAAAATCGAATGACGTGCCTTCAAAATATTCAATAAACAAGACCTAGTTACATGTAAAAGTGATTAAAAATTTCAATCGTGAATTTCTTACTTCCATAAATTACACGCATTTAGTTGCAGCACATTAACAAATCTTCGTACCCTTTGCTTGTTCGAGGGAGGAGGTTTAATCGTAAAATAATGATAGTAGTTTTAACTAGGATACCTTAATGACTAGTTCCGTATCTTCATTTTTATCTAGTAGTTGTAATTATATTTTAAAATATAATTTTCACTTGGGATTTTAGCGAGTTTAGCGCTTTGCACGTCTGCGGTGTTCCTGGTTACGACCTTGCTGTGTTACAGAAAATGATTACCCCATACCAAAAGCCGGTTACATTCCGCCCCAACTACGTTTCGACGCATTGCCATATATGGCTGCGACACACTCGGATGTACTGGTCTGACCCCATGCTAAACAGGTTGCTGACATTGTTTATCCATCTCGCCGCTGCCAATCTTTATCGATGATCAATTGTGGCCATTGCGAGATTGACTTACGTCACAAAACAGTGTGTATATTTGCGTGTCTTAGTTCAGCTTCCACCCCGTGTAAAGTAGTATTGGCATGTTTGTTATCGAAAGCGATCCTTATAGTCTATATTGATAACATATAAACAATGTTGTGCCACTCACTAATCCATACATTTTCTAGCTCTAAAAGTAGTTTAGATATGAAAATTTAAAGACTTTTTAACTACAGAATAATGCTAAATTTTATCTAGAGTCAGGAAGGATGAGTTTTTATACAGGCAAATTATAAATTATACAGGCAAATTGAAAATTTTGACATTTTCCAGCCCTTCTAATCACATTTTTTTCTCTATAAATGTTAAAATTGTTTAGAGTTGCTTAAAAATATTCCAAACAGTGGAATTTAATAAGCATTACTGAGTAATAAAAGAAGTATTACATTAAATTGTTCTTTTACAATCTTATTTTAGCTTTAAGTATATTATAAAGAAAGTAATCAAACTAAACAAGGATGTAGTTTTATATGAAATGACACTTATCCAATCAATTTTTGTTAATTTTTATATTGTTAAAACTTAAGATGAAGGCAGATAGAAAATATTCTTTAATATTTAATTGATTTAAATGATTCATTAATTATGTAACTTGACTATCATTATTATGTTTATGACTACATAAAATTTAGATAGTTTAAATGTCTCATTTAATCATTTTTATGTTGAATAATTGGAAAATAACTTCTAACTGAAAGGAATTGGCATTTAAAAGATGCTAAACCATTTTTCCTTCTTTCTTTTTTTGATAGATTTTTAATATTATTAAAAATTAAATGAAATTTCTTATTAAATAAATAAGAAATTAGTTAAATAAGGAGAAAAAAAATTTATATTTTTCTTAACATAATAAAAATTGAAATATAATAGCTTATTGTACATACTTAAATCCTATATTAAGGTGTAATAGTGTTCCTTTTGTCATCTTTAACACTGAACACATCTTATTTTATTTATTATGAATGCTTAAACACAACTTAATTTAAACAAATTTTAAATGAGGCACCGAAAAGGCTGTTTTATTTTTTATTTTTGACGAAAATTTTCCCACCTATTTAGGTGGATCCGCGATATTGTCAAAACAAAATCATTAGTAGGCTAATAGGAAATGTGCAACCTAAATGGAGCCTCTACAACACAGTACGAAGGTAATACAGTATTAACATTTTCGATTGAAGGACGTTCCTCGAGGCTATAGCGGTTCCTTCAGTTACTCCTCCGGTAATTATAGCACCATCATTATTGAGAATGATTAAGTTAGGCGAATCCTTAGAATAATATCACCTTACAATCGTGCCCTTTCCTTTATTTGGTCACATATCTGTTGTAGTATTAACCTCATTTTATTCCACTTAAAAAAATATATATATACATACAGTATATATATTATTTTTATGAATTTTTTTAATACTGTACAATAAAAGCCATTCGACTTGTCTTTTAATTGGACTATAGACCTATTTATTATTAAGAACCTAATTATGATAAATAGCCTGTTCTGTTGCTCAACATTTATTAAAAATCTATTGTGACAACAGCCATTTATGGACAAGAATGTCCTACTGTAAGCATGACAATTTTGAAAGAAAAATGCCATTATTACTCGATTTATCGAATTCGTTTAATAAACACTGGTTTATTTTATTAACACCAAAGATAATTAGTGTAATTTATATCCGTTTTAGGAAATTTTTAAATATTTTACCACCGTATAAAGTCTAATTTATTTAAGTTTTTATAGATGTAAACATGTTTTTAACTCTTATTTCTATTTAAAATTTACATCCTTAATTAGTTTACTAAGACGAAAATCACAGTTTGTTTCCCTTTTAATTTGGCTGATTTAAAAAAAAGATCTCTATCAGTTAAGTGTGACAGGTGACATGTTTTTGGACTTTCCCCCCATACACAAAAGTTGTTTACCAAGTTAACAAGTCTGAAAGACAAAATCAACACTTAGGGATTTTAAATAGGAACAATGGAGACAAGTATTCGTTGATGTAATGCCTATCAATTTTCTTTTAACGCTTCTGTTTAGAAAGAACACATACAAACAATGGAATAATGTAGCAAAATAAATACGGGTCTGCGTGTACTCTTAATACACGCGTATAATGTATTATAATGGCGATTAAATCATAAAAATTTAAGAAATTTTGTGTATTCCTTCGTATGTAAATGCGTGCCATCGATGGTCCGCGTATTACAGGTGAGGGATGGCAGTTCTGCGCTATAGTTTTAAATTAATTCCTCCTATTTTTATGTGTATATTTATATATGGAAGGCTTCCTACAACATATTTTAACTCGGCATTGATTACAATTTATATTCTAATGATTAGAATCATTAGAATATTAACGATCTTACCAGTTTTCGGATCTTGCCAAGAAAATAATTCTAGAATCTACCCCCGCCCTTCCAATGTTTATTTGATAAAGATTAAAGTTAAACGCATATAGAATTTACTTAATTATGATCGAAAATAATTTGCATAGTATCTTAAATTATAATTAAGATCCGTGATGAAGTTAATTAAAGTTTATTTTTCTGAATTAATTTAACTTATAAGAATAATATAAAGTGAATTTAAAAATTATTAATTAAAGGATTCTGCCTACAAATGGCTTATTCTTTTTACACTGGATCAAGTTCGTGACTTTGAGGCTCTGTGAGAATTTACACGCTGCGTTATTGAGTATGAGGAAGTAAATTAAGAAAAAATCTATATTGTAAATGGAATAATTTATTAATTTAAAACGATTCGAAGACGATTCCACTTGATAATATACAAGAAAACTCACGATATTGTATTGCATATACAATGGTTTAGTATATCTTTTCTTCACGGTTACATGGAAATTGATAACTGGTTTCCGCTTTACCACGGCTTATCGAATCGCTAAAAGCCGAGTTTTAAATATTACGAAGGTCATTTAAGATATAATTTATTAATAAAGTAGTTATTACATCGTTAACTATCAAATTGTTGTTCGTAATGTTAAAACTGTTTGGCAACACTTCAAAATCTCGTGATAAAAGAATATTCTATGCCAAAGTGACGTCAAAGTAAGTCATCCGGCATACACACAACCGGTGTTATGATGAGAATAACTGATGAAATGGCCCGCAAGGAGTGGTCGGAACCAGTTCTCCCTCACACGACCTAGAGATTTGTTAAATGTCGACTTTCAAAGTCGTTTGAGTTTAAACACTAACGTCCCCAGTCGTAACATTATGTCATAACTTTGCATAAGCTGGAAGTGACCTTGGCACTATTTATTATCCTAAAGATAATAAAATATTTCTCACTTATTGCCTTGTCGAGTTAAAGATATTTATATATTGTTTCTAATATTAAATCAATGTTTATGAGATTTCCCATAGATCTGGATGAAATCCAGGCGTTGGCCTCGCGGCTTTCTATTAAGTTTGGCAAGGCCATGGTCATGCCAACACCCATTCTAAAGTTGGTACCTTCTCAGTTACTAACCTGGCTTAAGTTCGTGATCGTGTGAGAATTCGTGTTTAGAGGTCATTACAAATAAATTGTTTCGGACATGTTGCAGATTTTTCTCCCGTTTGCAACACACGATTGGATTTCAGTATGCTTCTTTTTTTAATCACGAGCTTATACTTATTAATTGTAAATGGTTTCTGTATACAATTTAAAGGTTATTCACGCGGAATTTAGCGAAACCTGATTCCTGTAATTCCATCCTCTACAAGATTCTAAGGTAGGGTATCTCATGATAAACGACATCGGTACCGATTTACATTCGATATTCTTGTGTAAATGATACTTGTTCGGGGGTATCCGTAACAGCGTGCTAGAATTGCTGGAAGGGCTTAAGTTATTTTCATATTATTCGAGAGATTTTTAAGAATAATTTCGCATTGCAACACGTTAAACAAATGCGTTGTATGAAATTAGTATACAAATAAAAGTGCTACCGGTTTCCTTATTGGTTACATTCATATCGCACGAGATACTTTACATAACTCGAATTAAATGATAAGACCTTCGTTTATTATTCACGCCGATTACAAATTTTATTAACTCTTATAATATTTAAATTATTATTATTATTATTTTCGTTTAAACCTTTAAATAACGGACACGACGAAGACGTTAAAAAAATTTGGCCGTTATTTGAAGGTTGTCGACTATATTCAAAGATTTGAAAATCCAAAAACCTGTATTTCGCATGTTTTCATTCGTTTAATTACTATTTTTAAATTCTAATTACTATTATTTTGTGTAATTTTAATTAATTTTCTGCATAAAATGATTATTATTATTATTTAAATAGAAGCTTTAAAGCCTGTTTTTAGATGATAAAATCACGGAAAGAGTTTTTAAACATTTAACAATACAGTAAAACCTGCCTAAAGCGGAACCTGAATAAAAAAAGGGAGGAAAAAATGCTTCGAAACAGAGCGATTTTCTATACTAAAAAGAAAAAGAACCTGTTCACAACGGAAAGCCACCAAACCGGGGGAGGGAATGCTATTCCGGCTTACACAGGTTTTACTGTATTTATTGATTTAAATAATAAATAAAACGATTTTTAAAATGATCATTTATCCCATGTCATCCACAAATGTCAGAAAGTCATTTCAAGCGATTCTATTTTTAAGATTCGAGTGTGAATGACTCCAGTGTGTATTTAATTAATCAAGATTTTAATCATTTCAATTAAGTTTTTAATTAAAAAAATATATATATCTTATATAAATATACGAAATTCTTATTCTGTTTTTAATTTTAAGTATATATATATATCTATGTATTTATATATATTTTCATAACAACTTCAAATCTTTTTCTTTCACTGGGCTGATTTCCAGCATTGGAGATACGTGGAGGTTGGTGACTTCTTTCTTCTTAAAGAAAAAAAATAATAATATTAAAACTGCATGTATATACTAATAAAAAAATATATAATACATTTATTAAATTAATTTATTAATTTTAACATTTTTCTTCGGCTTCTAAACTTATATTAATGGAGCATTTGCACCTTTATATTTATGTTAGGCAAATTTACTTGTCCCATTTTTATGATATAATTGTTTTAAATATTTATAAAGAATTTGGAGTTTGTTTTTTAAATGTTTTTTTAGTGAAGGAAACTAAATATTTTTATTGAATTTTACATTAGAAAAATAATCCCGGATGCTGAATTTTGTAATTCTTGTAAAATCTCGATTTTCCATTCCTATGATAAATAGGACTTTTAAATGATACTATTACACGGATTTTACATGTTTTTGTGGATTTGAGATGATTAAATTAATAAAAAATGACATTATCAGGATCGTAAATGATGCTAGAATACAGGGAATTGCTTAATTTCTCTAGAATATTGTTGTTTTTTTAGAGAAAATAAGTAAATTGTTACGGAAAAGAATAACACATTTTTTGCATTATTTTTCGTAGGTTGCATGCTGAAAAATTTAACATTAAATCATGTGTTTGAAGCGAGGTTGACGTATGCAATTAACGTGCACTTATATATAAATTTTATATATATATATTCACGAAATAAATGAATAAATGAAAGACAATGCTCCATTTATATTTAATAATTACACCCGAGATTTTATTTTTTCCAGACCTACACTTGTTTACACGTCTGCAATTCATGCCGAGCCTGTTGTTCTCCTGGTGTAAGTTTCTATTCTCTTCTATCTTCGCTTCTTTCTTTCTTTAATAATCTAATTTTCTACTCGATTAATTATTTATATAAATGTCTCAGTGTAACTCAGTAGCATTGTGATTCTATGCAAATTATTACATTTAAAGTTACCTAGAAATGCCTTGTTTCAGATGAAGAGATAAAGTTCGAGTGAATGAGATGCTTATCGACTCGGTTAATGTAATTAAAAGAAAATTCAATAGCGTATAGACAAGATAAATGTGTAATAAATAAATAAATATAAAGAAAGACATTTATTAAAATATATTATTTTAAAAATTGCAGTTTTAAAGAATGTTTCTCTTGTTCAAATAAATATTAATAGGATAATTACACGCATTATTTTGTAATTGTAATAATGTTTATTATTTAAATATATTGTGAATAAAAAATTATATCTTTAGGGCCTCACATTTTAAAAGATTTTTATTATTTGGTGGAAGGAAAGGGCCTATTATGTATGCGATTAGCGTAATGAGATTTCTCTCTAGGCACGTGTCTAGGGACACCGGATCTCGGAGGCACCTAAATTAGGAAAAAAATAATAATTTTACCGTTATAACTGTATATTTAATTAAAGTTATAGAATTATTAGTTTATTACGTCGTAAAATTATATAGACGATCCTCAATTTTCTGTGTCTAGGGACACAGGAAAGTTTTAATCCACCACTTCTTAGGGAAAAAACAAGTTTAATCTCATTTACCAGCTTAGATATGGAAGAATTTTGGGTAAACATTCTCACATACGAAACGGAATTCGAACCCGTACCCGTAACCGTTGCAATATAGCGCCAACTAATACTTATAAACAGATATTATTCATGATAAAGTCTCTTGACTTTACCCTGAATTATTCAAACGTACGATTTTGCGTTGCAAGCAATATTATCATCCCCGATTCCTGTTGTTTTCAAACTCTTAAACTTGTTCGTATACAGTGAATTGAGGCTCCGGCCCCAAGCTTTCTCTATCCGGTTTCGATTTCCATCAATCTAACTCCGTTCTCGAGATTAACGAAGACGGACAGACAAACAGACGACAGTGTAAAAGTATAGGGCTGTAGTTTGAAAATTGCAAGCCAGATATCTCTATTATTTGGTCTTCAATTTTCTTTGTAATATAACAACATTTTCCTTATAATTTCTACCTATATAGTGGCCTTATATAGGTATGGTGTTATAATTTATCTTATATTAAATTGCAATAGAAATATTGTTGCAACGATTTAATATTTTTATTATTTTATTCCTTTAAATGAGATCTCCTCTTATTTGCTCCTTTTATGTCATGACATAATTTCATTTTGTTCTGGATTTTATATTGATTCGTTCTGTTTAATTGTATATTTATGGGAATCTCGAAATTAGAACAGAATTTTATGTATTTTTATACTGAATTAATAGATTTAATATTCTAAAAATGTCATCTGATTTTAAAAAAATTACGATTTATAAACGAATAAATTTTAATTAGAGTGTTTTTTTTAAGTTAAAAATCGCCATCCGGATGGGTGAGGCACTCTATTGTGGCCCTGTCCTAACACCAATGAGCCTGAAAAAGGTCCCTCTTAACGCCTAAAAAGTTAAAAAAAATAGTTTAATCTTGATATAAGTTTAAAATTCTTCCATTTCTGTATGATAAATGAGAAGATAATTTGATTTATATATACAGTCGACCCCCCTATAACACTTGATTTTTCCGTTTTATATGAATTCCATGTTGTACGAGTCACTTAGATTTTACAAATACGTGTGCCGGGCTGTGAATGGTTCACGTATTTGTAAAATCTAAGTGACTCGTACAACATGGAATTCATATAAAACGGAAAAATCAACAGCGTTATAGGGGGGTCGACTGTAAATGCTTATATATAGACTATATTCGAATTTATTTATTTTATAAGAATTTGATTTAATTTTAAAACATTAAAAAGTAAAATAAAAATATAATCTTTACTTTATTCGCAATCTGGATACTGTATAATTTTAGAGAAAGGTGAGAATCTATTACTTTTTTTAATTGTAATTTACTTTATAATAATTAAATTAATAGGATAATATGATTTATATGACGATATAGAAGGTGTTAAACATTAAAATTACTTTAATTTCTCAGTCGAGTAGGCACGTTGACGACTTATTCATCGATTTACGAGATGGTCACAACCTTATTTCATTACTGGAAGTTCTATCCGGAGAATTATTGGTAAGTTAACATGCCGTAAGAATATAATGAATAATAAATTAAATATCTTAGTTAAAAGTAAAAGCATTTTATATATATATATATATATATTTAGCCGAGAGAGAGGGGTCGCATGCGATTCCACATGCTACAAAATGTTCAAACCGCCTTAGACTTCTTGAAAGGAAGAAAGGTGAGCGCACTTTTTAAAAATATTTTAATAAAAAATTTAATACACATTATATTTTATAGATTTAAGTATTAAAATCACATATTACAATATATATATTTTTTCCCTCCAAAATAAAATCCATTTTAAGAGACGTAACCATTTAAAATTGTGCCAGAAAGCAACGGGAATACGAGCAAATCGGATTGTAAAAATTGAGAAAACAGAATAAAATCATCGAGAATATTATAGACATTTTTTTTTCTATTAAAATGTTTTATTTGGCACGTATTGATGTGGTATTTAAAAATATGAATTTTTGTAGAAAATATATGTGTGAAGAGAATGATGACAATGAGAAGGAAAAACTAATGGTTATCCCTTTTTTCAACGTTCTGGTATGGTGTAATTAATGTATTTTTGGAACCATAGTTCGCATTTACGAAAGAATTTCACATAAAGATGGACTGTTTCTCTTAAACGATATTTCTGACTTTATTGCAACAACGTTTTCATTCTCGTTAGAAGAACAAAGAAAACTTTGTTGAAAGAAACAAGCATCATTCTTTTCTTTACAGAACATCCTGTTGTGAGATAAAAACAAAGAAAAGCGCATCAATTTTTCTTTTCTTCTTCAATTTTCTCTGTTTCAAACCAATCTAATTTCAGAAACTTCCTTTATATTTTTATGCAATCTTTTGGTTTAATTAATGGTTTTAAAACCCTCTTTATTTTTTAGTATTTTCTCACTTAAAAATTGGATCCATAATTTATAATAATTATATAAATATTTAAAATATTCTCAAGAATGACATATGTAAAAATATTAAATAAGCAAAACAAAAGTTATGAAAAATATGAATGGAAATTAATAATATTTATTTCAAATAAATTAATATTTGTTCTTTTAATTTAATATTAACAAAATTATTAAATTTAATGAGCTAGAAATCATTATATATACAGAGATTTTCTTTAAATATTTCTCTGTAGACCTATATTATATTTGAAACAAAAATATACTCATCAGGCATTTTAAAAACAAAATTATACAGACAAAAAAAAATAAAAGTGCAGTATTCTATAGGGGAAAGAGAAATAATAATACTGTATCATTATTTCTTTTTCTTCTCTTGAACCAAAATAGCAGAAAGAAATTGCAATGACTGTTTTAAAACAAAAAAGAAAGAAAGATATAATATCTGTAAAGTAAACTTGGCAATGTTTTTATAAAAGTTCTTGCTTTTAGAAATTTTTATGAATATTTTTAAAGGAATAGATTAAATATAAAAGCATTCACTGTTATTATTATTTGCTGTTTCTCAGCTGTCAATTGTATTGCTGGTATTGGTTATTTTTACACATCAGATTTTTAGGAAAAATCTAAGATGTAATGTATTGGAGTAGATGTGTGGACCCCAGCAGCAGTGTGGCTTTTTTGTAGTTGACTGATGGCAATTTTCAGATCTTCTGAGTGTTGGCATAAATTGTTTTGGAACAGCAGCCAGTGTATCAATGACTATTGGTACCACAATTGCTGGTTATTACCATAACCTTTGAATTCCAATCTTTAGATATTGGTATTTTATTATCTTTTCTTGTTCTTTTTATTTGATCTTGGAGAATTTCCTGGTATGGCAGTGTCAATGATCCACACTTTTTTCTCTCAACCACAGTTATATCTGGTGTATCATGTACTAGAACTTTGTCTGTTTGTATTCTAAAGTCCCATGGAATCTTAACTTGGTAGTTTTTTAAAATTCTTATTATTTGAAAATATATTAAACTGATGTACAATAGAAATATATATGCAGATCCATATTGAGAGGGTGCCAATAAGATATTGGCATCTCTCAATCAAGAGCAAATGAAAATAAAAAATAATTTCATAAAGAATATTTATATTTTGCGCATAACCAAACAAGCCGCAGCTTAGGTCATCACATTTTTACATTTATCATTACTTAGTAAAGGGGAAGAGCATGTTATACGTTATAGTTCAAAGTCACCTGGACTATAATTACAAACTAATTAATAAATTAGAAAGTTAATATAAATAATTATAAGTTCTGTTAATAATTTAAAATATTACAAAATGTGAAATATAAATTTTGTATTAAAATATAACATTAATAAGATATAAAATTCTAGAAAAATTAAGGAACATTATATGGAAAGAATATAATGTCTCAGAAAATTTAGTAGAAATGAAGCAACAATTCCAGATAAAATAATATATAAAGTAAGCCATACATTACTGGATATGTGAAGAACATGAAACTGATGTAAATAATCTTAATTTGGGAACAGTTTAGAATCTGCACACACACTACAAAAATTCCAGATAGTCAGAGAATATAGAGATCAATAGTGATAGAAGCCAGGATTGCAGTATTGATTATTTTTACTATTATTTCTGGAAAACTCTATAAAATTACACAATAAATAGAGGAATAAAAACAGAAACAATGTATAATATATAAGAAAATGTTTTTAGTTACAAAAATATATCAGTTGTAAATACTTTTAATTCAGTGAAAAGTATACTTGAATGCTATGCAAATCACATTTTTATCTGTAAAATTTGATATTTAAGGTAAACATTACACAATATACTATCAATGTGATACAAAGGACAGAGTTTTATTTATTAATTTATTTGGTGAGGACTAATTCCATTGATATTTTGTTGTGCTGAACATACATTACTTTAGCTTTATACTTTTATAGATTTTTACTAAAAATAAGCCATTTGTTTATTATGTACAGCTTAATCTAGTGCCATTATTTGAAAAATGATAAGGTATAAAGTTCTAGGTTAGAATAATAAGTTTTTATAATAAATTACAGGCGTTTAGAACTTTACAACTAGCAACTTGCAGACATTTTAAGTGTTCTAAATGGCTGTAATTTCTAACAGTAAAATTGTTTTTTGTTTTGCTGTAATTCACTGTACGAAGAGGAAATACAGAAAGGCGTTACCATAATAGATACTGACCGTGTTTTGATTCCTGAAGGGACTTTCAATCAATTGCAATGTCATTGGAGAAGCACGCCTATCATTACGTGTTTCCTGTTTTCAGTCAATCAATAGAACTTTTTTTTTTATAAAGAATCTTAAATTGTCAGAGGAAGCCGCATCCCACAGACTTCAGTAAAGAAAATTTATTATCTTTTATAAAATTTAAGCGAATAATAAAGAAATTAACGCATTTATTTGGCAAAAAAATTCATTATTTTACGCGGCAAATTTTGAAATCTAATTCTCTCTCTTTTATCACGCCTCATGTTGTTATCCTTGAGTGAATTTACAATGTATCTAAGCTTTTAAAATGATATTATGAGACAAATACAATAAAACTCCACTTTTATGACCTAATCAGTTCCTGGAAATCGTCACTAACGAGTCGTCGTAAAGCGAGCCGTCATTATTTCAAAGCTCCGTACAATAAATTGAGGTTACGTTTCTGAAAAAAAGAAAACAGATTTAATTATATAATATCACACAGAAACGTCCAACGAAATATAACATTTTATACAGCTATAATAGCTAATTTATTCAGTTGTAAAAGCGGAGAGAATTGTAAAAACGGGCGGTCGTAAAGCGGGGGAGGTCTACCGATTCCAAAATCCGATTTCGCAATTTAAGTCTACATTTATTGACCCCAGTATTTATAATAGCCAAAGTGCAAAACTCAAACAATTGCTAAAGTTAACAGTCGGGTGGGACCACCACACGTTTGTCCCATAGACTTAACATTATACCTTTGCCACTTCGCCACGCCCAAACTATTCCACCTTTCTGAAATTTCTCTTCAGCGACATCGTCTACAGAATAAGAGCTTTAATTTGATATTCGAACCGTATTTTTAGCCCCAGCCGTTTATTCAAACTAAGTGGAACAATTGGAAACCTTTCAATTAATATCAAAGTTATCAATTTAATAAGGTCAACTGTTACAATAATGTTTTATTCAAATATTTTCAAATCGCTTTACGGTTTGCCATAAGTTTAAAATGAGAACCAGTTTGTAACATTGTAGAAAAATACTGTAGATGATGCATGATAAATCTCTTCAGCATCATCAAAGATAAAACTTGTTTTTCAGTATGGAATATTCTAAAGGTTCTTCAGAGTTTAATGTTGTCTATACAAAGACAAGAATCTTGTCCTCACTTTTAAAAAATATATATATAAATTATAATTTATTGGTTATTTAAATATATAAAAATTAAAATTAGAATTTAAAACTAATTTAATGCTCTTGTGATTATATTTT